AGAGCGAAACTCTGTCTCCCAAAAAAAAAAAAAAAAAAATATGATATTCAAACCTCATTCATTTCTCAAAGGAAACAAGGCTGAGACCTAGCTTGACATTGCAAGGTTTATGGAAAATTATGAGCACCATCATTTAAAAAGTTATTATCTTTTCTCAGAAGACAAGTTTAAGGTTAATGATCTCTCTATCAAATCTTGGCTGGTGTGAGGAAAAATGGGAGAAAGGAGATTATTTACTAGAGTGTACATACACCACATACTTTTGTTCTATTACGGGGAAGAGGGGAAGGCAAGAGACAAGAGGGAGGTATTCTTATTGGGCAGTCAAGGAGAAGAGGTTTTTAATTCTACCCGTGTTCAGACAGAATAATTCAGCACCTTTCTGCAGAGCTTCCATTAAAGAGAAGGTAGAGCTGATTCAACTGAAGAAGCTCTTACATGAAAGAAATGCCTCATTGGTTACGACAAAAGCACAATTAACAGAAGTTCAAGAGGTGAGTTGCCATCAGCTATGCTTTCTTGGTTGGGGGGAAACCCCAGTTAATTAAGAGACTTATTTTTTTTCATGAGAAATCAATTCAGAAGGATTAAATTACTTGTCTAAGGTCACACAATTTTTTTTGTTTTGTTTTTGTTTTGAGACAGACTCTGGTTCTGTTGCTAGGCACCAGGCTGGAGTGCAGTGGTGCAATCTGGGCTCACTGCAACCTCCGCCTCCCAGGTTCAAGCAATTCTCCTGCCTCAGCCTCCCAAGTAGCTGGGACTACAGACGCACACCACGATGCCCAGCTAATTTTTGTATTTTTTTTTTTTTCCAGTAGACACCATGTTGACCAGGATGGTCTGCATCTGTTGACCTCGTGATCCTCCACCCACCTAGGCCTTCCAAAGTGCTGGGATTACAGGCGTGAGCCACACTGCCCGGCCACACAATTTATAAGTGATACTCAAATCCAAGCCTTACAAACTGTCTATTCGTTTCCCAGTATTTTCCATTTTTCTATTAAGGCTCAAGCTCTGTCTGTTAAGGTGAAATAAAGTAGAGTTAACTTGTGTCAAGGTTAAGGTCCCCCACCAAGACCACAACCAGAATGTGATTAAATTAGAAAGCCAAGAGCAGTCACAGGGGAAGGGAAGGAAACTAGCCTTTTACTTAGCACTTTGTATGAACTGGACTCTGTCCCAGATACTTAGTCATGATCTTTTTCTAAGCCTGACAACTGCCCTAAAGGTAAGTACATTTAGCAGATGAGGAAATTGCATCTCTGAGAAGTTAGGTAACTTGTTCAAGTCACAAGCGATAATAAGGAGCAGAGCAGAATTTGAATCTAAAATGGCACCAAGGCTCTTTTCTCATCACACATTAGAAACTGATATCTGAATGGTAGAAATAGCGTATCAATAGTCTAAGGTCAGCACCATCCTTGTGTTTGTCTTTGTGTGTGTGTGTGTGTGTGTGTGTGTGTGTGTGTGTGTGTGTGTGCGTGCACGTGCATGCGCACACACCATCCTTTTATTGAAAAATGTTTATCGATTACCAGGAATTGCAAAGCACTGGGATACAAAGATTACGAAGATAAGTAAGATAACATCTACCTTCAAGTTTATAGGAGTGAGAACAAGTAAATTCTACCATCCTACTCCAAGAATGGTATGGAGTTAGAATTTTTTTTTTTTTATCTGTATGCAGGGTATGGGCAGGACAGGGTAGTCAGACCCACCACTGGGTGAGGTGTTGATATGGCTTTGAGTAGAGGAACAGCAGGGCTCTTGTCTCACAAGAATTAGATAAAATGACATGGGCACACATGGAGTAGTGGTTTTAAGGACCGGAGAGTTCAATATGCAAGAAAGAAGGGAGAAGAAAGATGGAAGAAGCTCCCTTGTACAGAGGCAGGGAGAAAGGCTCCAAAGCTGAGAGAGGAGACCCCATGTGCTGGGAAAAGTGGCTGCTTATGAGTAGGCTGGAGGAGGTGGTAGTTTATTTGCATAGGTTTCAAGGGATTGGTTTCAGCAGGTATGTTACTCACATAGCCTGCAGAAAAACTGGTCCACCCACCCTAGCCTTTTAATATGCAAATGAAGGGTGCCAGGATGTTCTACATAGGGACATGTGGGGGTGACCACGTTGCCAGATACACATGGGGGCAAGGGCAGGAAGAAGAGGGTGGGAATTGCCATGTTTGGGTGGACCCAGTTCCTAATGGCCTATATTTGCATATCAAAGGTTGCCAGGGATTTCCTGCTAGACAAGAAACATTTCTGGAGCTGCTTTAAAGGACATGAAAGATTTCCAAGGGCCCCTCTTCCTCTCTCTCTGCCTAAAATTATTTTTCAATAACTCCTATAACAGTGCCAGATCAGGAAAGGATTAATGGCTGGGTGTGGTGGCTTGTGCCTATAATCCTATCACTTTGGGAGGCCAAGGAGGAAGGATCACTGAGCTCAGGAATTCAGACCAGCCCAGACGACACAGTGAAACCCCGTCTCTACCAAAAACATAAAAATTAGCCGGGCATTGTGATGTGTGCCTGCAGTCCTAGCTACTCTGGATGCTGAGGCAGGGGGATTGCTTGAATGCTTGAGCCCAGGAGGCAGAAGTTGCAATGAGCCAAGATCCTGATTCTGCACTCCAGCTTGGGTGACAGAGTGAGACTGTCTCAAAAAAAAGATTCATAAAGGAATAGACTTGTGAGTTAAATGCTGGAATACTAAAAGATTTGTATGTGTTAATAAGTGTGCAAGAGAGGAAGGGCTTTCCATGAGAGCAGAGGTGAGAAACATCAGGAACCTGGTCATGGAGGATACACTAAACATTTTTCTTGTCATTAAAGATAGAACAGGCCAGGTACAATGGCTCACACCTGTAATCCCAGCACTTTGGGAGGCCAAGGTGGGCAGATCATGAGGTCAAGAAATCAAGACCACCCTGGCTAACACAGTGAAACCCTGTCTCCACTGAAAATACAAAAAATCATCCAGGCATGGTGGCACGCACCTGCTGTCCCAGCTACTGGGGAGGCTGAGGCAGGAGGATCCCTTGAACCCAGGAGGTAGAGGTTGCAGTGAGCTGAGATTGCACCACTGCATTCCAGCCTAGGTGAGTGAGGGAGGCTGTGTCTCAAAAAGAACATACTAGGAATTTAGACTTTATCTGCAGACAGCAGAGAGCTGTATGAAACAGTTTAAGTATGACATCTATTTTTTTCTCACAAAGGTTACTTGTCTTTTTTTTTTTTTTTTTTTTTTTTTTAAAAGAAAGCCCAGTGTGGCGGCTCAGGCCTGTAATCCCAGCCCTTGTGAGGGTGGATCACCTGAGGTCGGGAGCTTGAGACCAGCCTGATCAACATGGTGAAACCACGTTGTCTTTTTATATTGGTAATATAAAGGAAAAAGTGAAGATTGGAAGCAGTGGAATATTAGGAAGGCTGGCACAGAGGGGTGATGGGGCAATGTTTCTCAGGGCTTCTTAGAGAGGGATTGGGGGTGGCTCGGAAACCTAAAAATGGGAAAGAATTTAGACTGCTGGAAGATCTTGAGGCAAAAGTTGATACTGTGGGGTGGTTAGAAGGAGCATTTGTCGTGTTGACTGATTGGTTATTGCTTGTGTACAATTTTGTGGGAATTGAGAGATTAATCAGAAAATAAGAAAAAATACAGGTATCAAAGGATTAAGGATTAGAAGAAACTATGACTCCAGTTAGAGTGTTCAGCTAGGTCCAGAATAACCATTTGCCTGATAAGCCAGCTTTTGGGTTCTGTCTTTTAATTTATTGATGGCATCATATACAAGACCGGACTGATTTACATAAAGACAATTCTTCAGTTAGGATTAGGCAAAGACCTTTTTCAGCAGTCAGTAAATCAAGACCTCTGCGGTTCTGAAGGACAATTGTGGTTAGGGAATTTACTTGAGCTTGAAGAAGGGAGAGTGATTGAGTTAATTCTGCAATGCTAGCAGAGAAATCATTAGAGAGGCTACAGAAGGTGACAGTTGAAGTGACAAGGCCTGCTATGCTTGTGCTGAGTGCAGTAGTCATTCCTAACCCTACAAGTAAAGGGGATCAATGGAATGACCCACTTGTGTCGTGTTGGGACCACAAAGGGAACAGGGAGGCTTTCATCCCCGTTGGCAAACTGAATTTTGGGAATGAGGAAAGCTAGGGTACAGGTTACCTGTCCAGTTGGTAGGAAGGCAGATGTAAGAAGAGACACAGGAAAAAAAAGTTCTTGGCTGGTGGGGTACGGTGGCTCACGCCTGTAATCCCAGCACTTTGGGAGGCCGAGGTGGGTGAATCATTTGAGGTCAGGAGTTCAAGAACAGCCTGGCCAACATGGTGAATCCCCATCTTCAAAAATACAAAAATTAGCTGGGTGTGGTGGCTTATGCCTGTAATCCCAGTTACTCAGGCTGAGGCATAAGAATCGCTTGAGCCCAGGAGACAGAGGTTACATTGAGCTGAGATTGCATCGCTGCACTTCAGCCTTGGATGACAGAGTGAGACAATGTCTCAAAAACAAAACACAACAGATCCCTGGGCCCCATCTCAGATTCCCTTTCAATTATTTGGGGATAGAATTCGGGCAGTGTAATTTTAAGATCTCTCCAGGTTATTCTAATAAACAACTAGACTGGGAATCAAGGAGGTAGAGTGGAGTGAGCCCAAATCCTCCCCAGTATCTCTTTCAAAGAAAACATGAGCTGCTAGGTTCAAGAATAATCTTTCTTTTTTTTATGTTTTTTATAAACAGGGTTTCACCATGTTGCCTGGGCTGGTCTCAAACTCCTGACCTCAGGTGATCCGCCTGCCTCGACCTCCTAAAGTGCTGGGATTACAGGCGTGAGCCACCACACCTGGTCTATTTTTTNAAAAAAAAAAAAAGTCTTGGAAGTGTAAATTGAAAAGGTGAGAAAGTGTTCTGGCGGAGGCTGGGGCTTTGTACCCAGATACCAAGGGAACCAGCAAGGGCTGCAGCTGTTGAAGGGTAACTGGACGTAGAGCTCTTGTTTTCATGGTGTATGAGAAAGCGTGTGGTATCTATAAGTAACCATTTACTTTCACTAACAAGATTGGGTATGAGCAGACAGGAAGAAGGGTCTGGAGGAGAGTCTGAGGAGCAAGGGGAGGGCAGCCAAGGATGGAGTGAGAGACAGGGTGAATGCCTACCTAGCCAAAAACTGCGATTGGTACTTTTTAAGGCTGCTGGTAATAAGGGAGGGCTTTTCTGTAATGTGCAGTTTGTATGCTCCTATTTTTTGGTTAACTTGGGTAGTAGGGCTCTTGAGGTGAAGTGTAAAGGAACACAAAGAGTGTGGGAGATAGTCATGGGGTTCAGGGTTTGCGTTATTAAGTGAAAGGCTGGGTTGAAGTCAGGTCCAATAGCAATGGTTATTTTGAGACTTTCAATTAAGAGCATAGATGGGTGTGGTGGCTCACGCCTGTAATTCTGGCACTTTGAGAGGCCGAGGTGTGGGCGGATCACAAGGTCAAGA